GGGGGTCCAACTTGCAAAGAGAGGGGGATTTCAGATATGTAAACCAGGCATGGGCAAGAGTGTCCAAGTCGCGGGCCTGATTCAGCGATTCCGAATATCTCGCGAGGCAAAGCAATAGAAATGTGGGTGAAATCAGTTGAAATATCCAAGCTCCCTCCAAAAATGAGACTAAAACTGACACTGCAGCATGTCACTCAAGGGCATGTCGTGAGATAAAATAATGATATCTATTGCTTTTAGCTGGGGCGGAAAGTAGTATTTTTGATTTTCAAGACGGTTTTGTTTTTATACATTATCATATCAACTCACCGCAAGCCACGGTCTGTATTAATTTACTGGGTCGACTCAGGGGCCCGACTGAAATTGCTCGTGGACCGTAGTTTGCCCATGCCAGGCCAAGACGAAAGTCATGAACCTTTGCGCTAGAACGCTTGTTCATCTGAACAGCGAAATGATAATACGTGGGCAAAGCCATGTACATATATTTTTTTAATTTTTTAAATTTGGAGTCGTCTACGGAAAAGTCTTTTAGGACTTGAGTGGGTTGTTGGCAGGTGCTCTGGTGTTATTTGCTCCATCTTTCCTATTAAACATCTATCGTCCTTATCTCTCCTCCCTTTTTTGTGTTTTACCCTTGTGGCGCAGTAATTTGTAAACTTGGCCGACGCCTGGAAAGGAGCTTTTTTCTTGTCCTTTGCGATGTATGTTCCTCGGTCCGGAGTCATGACTGCATGGGTCATGACTGCATGGGTCATGACTGCATGGGTATCTTGCCCCCCGTCTCCGAAATGACCCGAGGCATGCCCGAAAGGGCGATGAACTTCAACAAAGTCACCAGGTACATTTATTGTACCACGCCAGTCGATGCTATCCCGATCAATCAGTGTGCCTCCCCACGGTACCATGAATCGTGTCATAAAAATGTGTATGCGTATTGCTTTCCCGCTGAACCATTGTCGCTTCAGTCTGATCAAAATCAAATCTCCTTCTTTGAGACCAGGAGCAGCTGATAGTTAAAACCCCAACTTTCCCCAGCCCACTGTTGTTAATCCCACTGGCTATGTGTGACCTGACGCTTTCGCTGTGAATGTTTGACCGCGCCGTCACCGTGTGGGTATTAAAAATCTGTTGTGGGCTGTCCTAGCGCGTAGCGTTTGTCCAAGCCACGGTGCGACATGTTGGAGCGACCGACCCGAATCAAGTTGTTCGAGAGAAGTTTTAAGTACATTATAACCTGGTGTGGGGGGATTAGTCGCCGACTATGTGATATTTTTATGAAAATCAATCGCGCGGAACTTCTCGCTCGCTCCTTCGCTTCTTTATTCAGGAGAGCCCAAAATGCGCCTTGGGGGGGGAAATAACACGTTTAAAAAAAAATTGTGGTTGGACAGTCTGTCTTTCACGATAGTTTCGGCCAGATGATAATCGAATGCATCGGCTTTTGTGGTGTCTCCTTATGCGCGTCTAACGTCGCGTCGCGCCTAAGGATACATAGTCTTATGCTGTACGCGCCTTGCCGGTTCACGCTGAAGATGAGTTCAATCCTCGTCTTGCGCTGGCAGTTATTTTAACGAATATCTCTACCTGCCTGGTGAGACGCTGTTTTCCGAGCAGCCCCCGGGTTGTTGGCCCTGATGAGCGGGGCTGAAGCAAGCCGCCTCCTCGGTGATCAAAACTGTATCGATGGGAACGTAACATTCAATACTATGCCCCTAAGAGAACTGTTCGGTGTCCGAGCACCGCGGGTAGTTACTGGGTGGTCTTTTGTTTTTGCTTTTTTTTTTTTTACTCTCTGCGAGTGAGGCTAAAACAGCACCTGGACATGGATGGCTGGTGCCTCTATAAATAAATCATTGATGGTCTCTGCGAGTGGGTGGTTCGCGGATGCCCTGTTGTGTTTTGCTCTTTCTGTCCTTTCAAACAACAGTCGTCCTTATCTCTCTTCCTTCTTGTATTTGAATGTTACTACATTGTATCTAGTTAGTAGCACCTCAAATCTTCGGCACTTACATGACCTAATCGTCCTAATTGTGTTGCAAGTGGGGTAAAACTTTATGAACTTTTTTACCTTGGGGGGGGGGGGGGGGGGGTGCACGTAAGAGAAC